CATAAACTGAGGAATATGCTTAGTTATATTAACCCATTTCTGTAGACTTGAGTCCGACTTCAAAACCAAAAGATTGTATATTGCTCCTATCATGGAGGATAACAGTTCTTAGTCTACATTGGTATATTTACGTCTGAAGCAGAGTTCAATTTTGAGCAGCAAATTTTAAGAGCATTGAGAAATCTGACTGTGTTCAGGAGACCAGTCAGAACAGTGAGAAGGGCATGTCAGGGGCTTGTGTCATGCAACAGATAACTGAAGAAATGGAGACTTAGACAATAGAATTTTAGGAGAAGGAGACCTTTAATCTTCATTGTTACTTAAAATTTCTAAACTAAAATAAGCTTACTCTCCTCGCTGCTGAAGTCTGAGATTTGGGCCTCTCCTCTGTGCTCACTGTACAGCCCTGACCCTCTCTGTCATCAGGGTGACTACAGACTCTAATTTGCCTAGCCATTGCCACAGTATAATTATTAATAGCACTTCCTTTTACTTTTGAGTGGTCCCAGGAGATCAGGTGGTTGCCTACCTGTGGCAATATTTTATTCATTTATTTTAATTTTATTGCAGTATAGTTGGTTTGGATTGTTGGTTTCAGGTGTAGAGCGAAGTGACTCAGCTATACATATATTTATTCTTTTTTAGATTATTTTCTCACATAGGTTATCACAGAATATTGAGTAGAGTTCCCTGTGCTATACAGTAGGTCCTTGTTGATTATTGATCTTATAGGTAGTCGTCATACCAAGCTTCCAGTTTATCCCTCCTCCTCACAATGTTTCCCTTTTGGTAACCATTAAGTTTGTTTTCAATATTTGTAAGTCTATTTCTGTTTTGTAAATAAATTATTTGTATCTTTTTAAAATATTAATTCCACTTATGAGTGATATCATATGACATTTGTCATATGACATTTGACATTTGTCATATGACATTTGACATAAGTCAGAGAACTGTCTGACTTACTTAGTATGAAAACCTTCAGGTCCACATTGCAACAAATGGCATTATTTCATTCTTTTTTATGGCTGAGCAATATTCCACTGTATATATGTACCACAGAGGCTTCTCCAGTGGCTCAGAGGTAAAGAACACACCTGCAATGCAGGAGATGCGGGTTCAATCCCTGGGTCAGGAAAGCCCTCTGGAGAAGGAAATGACAATTCCCTCTAGTATTCTTGCCTGGAAAATCTTGTGGTCAGAGGAACTTGGTGGGCTACAGTCCATAAAATTGCAAAGAGTCGGAGTGGCTGAGCACACATGCACTGGATGACAATCCCTAACACTTAGTAGAAGCGTAATTTTGTGTGTGTTTTTAAAAACTTACTTTATTTTTGGCTGTGCTGGGTCTTTGTTGCTGCGCAGGCTTTTCCTCTAGCTGCGGTGAGCAGGGGCAACTCTCTATTGCAGTGCATGGGCTTCTCGTTGTGGGGGCTTCCCTTGTTGCAGGAGCGCCGGTTCCAAGGATGCAGGCTTCAGCAGTTGCAGCACTTGGCTTAGTAGTTATGGCTCCCAGGCTCTAGAACACAGGCTTAGAAGTTGTGGGATCTTCCCAGACCAAGGATCGAACCCACGTCTCCAGAATTGGCAGGCAGGTAGATTCTTTGCCACTGAGCCACCAGGGAAGCCCAGAAACTATTTGCTGAATGAGTCCGGCACTGAGGAGAATTAGGAGTTCTGTGAGATAAACTTTTGGCAGTCAACTTTGATTAAAGTCTGTCACAAACCCACACTGTATCTCATTATCTCTAAGGGAACGGATCAACTCTCCCTCCAGCAGGTAAATGTTGTGAACTGGTGAGAATTCAGCCACAGTTTCAGCCAGTCCATGATTGCATCCTTCAAATACTGGCAAAGTGTTGTTGGGGATGCAGGTGTAGGGTGGATTGAATTGCTCTATCTCCCTCTAGTGGCTGCTCTGTGGAACTCTTCACAAAATCCTTCCTGGCTATAATCATAGCCTGTTAAGTTCTACAGATCTTCTACAGATCTTCACCCAGACATCATTCAGGTTTGAGGTAGGGTTTGGGCAAGGAGCTCGATGTAGATAACCATCATAATATCGGCAGATGTGGGTCATTCTTAAGTGACTAGGTGGCCACTTTCAAAATATGATTTTTTTAAAAATTTATTTTCTTATTGAAGGATAATTGCTTTACAGAGTTTTGCTGTTTTCTGTCAAACCTCAACATAAATCAGCCATAGGTATACATATATCCCCTCCCTTTTGAAGCTCCCTCCCATCTCCCTCCCCATTCTACCCGTCTAGGATGATACAGTGCCCCTGTTTGAGTTTCCTGAGCCATACAGCAAATTCCTGTTGACTATCCTTCATTTGCCTTTCCTACTGTTCTTTTCCCCTTGTAGTTAATCTTTAATGTATATAGAAAATATGATTTTTGATAGATCCACTTCTTGGTATATTCATGTATATTTAGTCTAAGCAAAGATGACTAGATGGCCAGTATGTTTCTAGATCAGTTGTTCTCAATTTGGGGGTTCTCAGTCAGTAGGAAGATTTTTCCCTGCAAAAATATCTGGTAATGTCAGGAAGCATCTTTGATTGTCGTGACCAGGGACAGGGAATGTGCTACTGGCATCTAATGGGCAGAGGCCAGGGATGCTGCTAAACATCATACGATGTACAGAACAGTCCGCCATATCAAGCAGTTATCTGCACCAAAATGTCAATAGTGCTGCAGTTGAGAAACCCAATCTAGATTTGCTCCACAAGGGGAAGTTGAAGAAATTCAGGGGAGGCAATAACTTTGGCAGTGACACAAATTAATCCTTTAAAAATTGTTTCTTCTCTGTGTGGAGTGTGACTCCTGACTTTTCCCCTAGGAAAAGGACAACCTCGCAGTTCATCAAATCAAACCAGCCACCTTCAAGCTTTACAACTATAGCGATAGAGACACAAGGTTGTGGAACCTGTTTTGCCACATTGCTATGTTACATATTCTCTGGGTAACAAAGATGAAAGTACAATTTCTTGGGTGGACTGTCTGTATTTTACTCTTTCCAGGAGGTAGAAACAGAATCTTGAGGAAGAGAAGTAACTTACTGTAGTCAGTGGTTTCACAGTCAGCATATGGACTCTTTATCAATCAGATCCTGGTTGTGTGACTACGGTAAGTGTCCTAAGGAAGCTTAAGGTTACGACCAGTTTATTTCAGAACCCCAGCCCCTTAAAACTGAGAATGGGTCTGTTCCTCCTGAGTTCTCCAGAATTCAGATATGCTCAGTCAAAAGAAAACATTGGAGAAACACGGGGAAACCAGATTCTAAAGTATCAGTTTAATTTTTAATTTTTTTTTTTTAAGACTGAGGAAAAAGAAAGCTCCAGCTTAGCCACAATGCCTTAGGGGAAATCTGGGGAGCAGTAAAAGAATAATCTGAGGGGTTCTCTAGTTTTCGACTTGAATCTGGACCTGATGATGTAAGACATACACTGAATGTTATTTGAAGGATAGCCAAAAAGATTCCAAGATGTAGCCATTCTCCCAGTTAGCTCACAAGCCTTGGTAAGGGAATTTTGAAGGGATAGCCTCTTCTTTCCCTCATTTGTTTCTGCCCGTCTATCAGGTGAATTCAGCCACAGGAAAAACCCAACTGCTGGGAACTGAGCTGCTAAAAAGTCTGAGTTATAGTAAACGAGTGATTGCTCATCGCCCTGGGGTTTGCAAATCCTGATTAGCAGTTCCTCAGTTTTTGAGTATAGGCAGCTAATGAGCTTAAGACTATACACAGGTGGTATAGTGCTAAGTGTGTTTGTGTGTATGTGTGTGTGTGTGTGTGCGTGCGCCTGCCCAACATTGAATCCCACTCATTATGTTTGTGGAAGACCCAACCAAAACGATGAAAGTGGAAAATGCCAGAGGTTCAATTCCCAACCTCCCTTGGAAGTAGAACATGGACATATGACCTGGGATTGGTCACTTGATCTTAGCTTCTCATTTAGAAACTAGAGAAGAAAAGATGAAGAATGGACCCTGGAGAAATCACTTTGGTATAGACAGTACAACAGCAGTTTGGAGTTTCCGAGTCTGGCGGAGGCAGGGAGGGAGTGGTGGAGTCTGGGTCTAGTGCTGGGAGGACAATAGGGGTACAGCCAGCACTGTCATCCCTGGGCTGGTTTTGTTATTCGGGTTGTACTCCTAGCCACAGCCAAAGTCTCCCCGCTTCTTGCTCATTTTCAAACCATCATTTTACAGAACCTCCCAGTAGTTATGAACTAACCAGCATCTTTTCAGTAGATTCCTTTTCTATATAAAAAATTCAGTGTCAGTTCCTGTTCATCACAAATTGGAATACTACTGGAATTGGTTCTAAGAAATGAGATGCACTGAACAGCAGAACTAAAATGTGAATTGATTGACTAGAGAGGGTAAAGTATAAGGTTATGAGGACCTCAGAGTTTTGGGCCGGAAAGTTGGTGACCCCTGTTATGTAGTTGTAAGACTGCTGGCAGTATCTTAAAGTGTTCGCTGAGGTCATACAAGACCCTATCAGAAAGAAGAAGTGCTTAAATTCAAGAAGGCCTGTCTGAAACCAGCGACTAGAAGGGAAACAGGACTTCACTGGAAGAATCTCTTTCTGTCTGCAGCCTGTAGTTTAAACTATTAAGTATTCAATTAGTTGAAACTCTTAGGCCAAAATATGTTAATTTTCTACTTCAGGATATGTTTAGTGGTGAGGAGAGGTGTGCAAAGATTAAGACTTGTTTGATAGAGACCCTGAAGACATGAGGCCGTGGATGTAAAATGGTCTCAGAGTCAGTTTGCAGTCTTAGTTGAGGCTCCAGGTTTGTTGCTCAATGGAGTAAATAGAGAAGTAGGATTTAAAAATCATTTTGGGAAGTGAAAATCAAGTTCCTTTGTAATAGCATCACCAAGCACTGGCCGATTTTCTTTAAATCCAACTGCCATTTCCACAAAACAGTACTCTTAAGAATCTTAGGTTTTTTTCATTCTGTTATTCAAAGTTCAGAGACCTCAAAATCATGTTTTTAGTTTATTGACTCTTTAGCTTCCAGGTTTTACAAATAAAATACTTTAATAGCTTCTTTGATAGAATAATGTCAGAGTGTTTTACATACAATGAGGCATTCAGCCTTTACTGTCTATTCAGAGAGAGAAACAGGCACAGAGCCTTGATGAAGTCTACTTGGCGATCACAAGCAGCTCCCAGACTGAGTACGGGCAGACAAGGTGTAAGCGGTTCCAGACTCTGTGGCTGGTGGTCAGCTGTCTGAGACAGGTCCTAGGTGTCCTGTGCTGGCTTTCTGCCTTTAGCTGTCATCCAGCTGCGGCAAAAGGCAAGACACCTGAAGGTCCAGGCTGACTGCACCAGCATTATCCATTTCATCTGCCACACCCCAGAGATGTAAAGTTAGATCAACCAGCTCTCTGCTCTGAGCCTGTGCCACTCGCAGAGCAGGCTAAGCGCTTGGGAAGCCTCACTTCCGTATCCATGTCACAGGTAGATGTGGAAGAAGCATCACCGGGGAGCTGGGCCGAGAAGAAGGCACATGTGCAGATGTCACAGAATACTTGGGATCTGGGACCAAGCTCAGTGTTTATTTTGCCTCTTCTATATTCCTTCAGAAAGTCCTTTCACTGAGTCTGTGATGTCAGCTCTCTGGAAGCGTCACACTGGCATAGACTGTGAAGGAGCCTGATTCCTGGGGGAAAACAGAACAGGTCTGTGAGTGGAGGGTCCAGCACTAGGTTTACAGGCTGTAAATGGAAAGTGTGATGCTCAGGAAAAGGAAAGGTTCTTGAGAATCAGGTAGCATTGCAACTTGCTCAGCATCTGTCACAGCTGGGTTTGTCAAGATCATTTTGATATGAATCATTTTTAAAGTTTCTGTTGAGTTTATTTGCTTCCGATCTATGTTTTGGTTTTTGGGCCCTGAGGCATGTGGGATCTTAGCTCCCCAACCAGGGATTGATCGAATCCACATCCCCTGCATCGGAAGGCAAAGTACTAACCACCAGACCTCTGGGAAACCATAGAGCTAGAGGCAGCACTCAGGTCCTCAGGTTGTCTGCCTGCCCATAGATGGGCTACAGTTTCCTTCAAGCATATGCAAGCCAGCAGGGAGACTAGGAGAATTCACCCAGTCATCTGAGGACTGGCACTCACTTTAGAGCAGCCAAGAGAGTTCTAAAATACCAAGTTTTAAAAAAGGGAAGATCAGTGATACCTAAAGGGAGAAGGAAGACGTGGTTCTGGTGGGAGAGAGATGGGGAGGAGATGAAGACTGTGAGCAAAGAACTCTCATAGGAGAGGAGATTCAAGAGTCAGAGACACAAAGAGACAGGAGTGGGGAATTCAGGTGGTTTTGCTGTAAAATGTGAATATATACCAAGTGCAGTGTTTCTTCCCCAAGAAAACATCATTAAAAATCTATATGATTTTTAAAGCTTTTAAAGTCAGGTTTATGTTTTTCCTTCCCTTTGGATAGGAGTGTTCTGTAACTAAACCTCAAAATGGAGACAAGGCATCCTTCCAGGCATTGCTGAGTATGTATACAGTAGGCTTGAAGGAAAATAGGTAAAAGTAGATATTTCTGTGGTCTTTTGATCCTCCATTATCTCCTAAAATGCTTTATTTAATAAAGCCCAAGTGGAGCCAAGACTTCAGCCCAGAATTTACTCCTGTTCATATAGTAAAAAGAAGATTTTTGTCAAGTAAACTTACTCCATTCTGATATTGCAACAGAATAAAACTGGTGGGCTAGGCGTCATATGCTTTACACGTTTGCAGAGCTCTACTCCTAAATATTCTGATAAATAGGGCTGAATGGAAACTAGGCACGGGCATTTTTACAAAGCTCCCCTGGCTATATGCAGCTGGAATTGAGAACTCCTGGACCCAAGATGCAATTCCTGAACTTAAGCATGCATCAGGATCACTTGGAAGATGTTGTTTTTTTAATGTGCAGATGCCTGGTGACCTGCTATAGACATTCTGATTGAACAGATCCTAGAGAGAAGTTCTCAGAATCTTTATTTTTAAGAAATATGCCAGCTGATTCTGATGTTGTCCTTAGACAGCTCTCAGAGAAACACTGGTGAAGAGACAGCGAGCAGGAACTGCACGTGAGAAGCCACGAGGGTTTTCCCAGAAGCCCTGCAGTCGAGGATGCAGATGCTCCTTGCCACCTGCTTGCTATGACCTGCGTTCTCCATTTCAGCTCTACACAGGTTCCACCCTTTTCCTGCCTCCACCTATCCCCTCTTTACAGAGCAACGCCTCACCTGGACGGGCTCTGGGACAGGCTCTGTGGCAGCGACGTAGATGGTGGTACAGGGGTCCTGTGCCGGCAGGGGGTCAGGTTTCTTCTGAACAGACTACAAGGGAAACAAAGTAGACAAGATGTCAGTTGAGCAGCGAGTTATTTCCATCTAATTCTGCTCATGCAGAAGCACAGAATCAAGAAGTTATGAGCTGAAAAGTTCTCTGGAGCCATTTGGTCCTTTTCAGGTGAAAACTCTCCCCTGGATTCCCTGGAACCCAATTCCCTGGTTTTTGCTTAAGGCTCCTCAAGTGACGTCTTGGAGCTTACAGCCTGTGAGCAGCCTGATTTACCATTACCACTTCTCAGCTGTGTTAAAAGTCTTCCTCATAGTGAACTGAAATTGGTGTGGCTCTTACACGGATAGCTGATGAGAATGAGATTTATACAGTATTTTAGTCTCACTTGTATCACCTACATAGGACTTCTCTGATACTCAGACTATAAAAAAATCTGCCTGCAGTGTAGGAGACCCAGGTTTGGATCCCTGGGAAGATCCCCTGGAGAAGGTAGTGGCAACACACTCCAGTATTCTTGCCTGGGAAATCCCATGAACAGAGCAGCCTGGCGGGCTACAGTCCACCTGGTTGCAAAGAGTCGGACACGACTGAGCGACTAACACACACACACACACACACACACACACCACTCACAACATGCAGAGGTCCTGCTGTTCCTCACTCTCATGGCTTCTCAGCAATTCTCTTTCCTATCTAAATATCGAGCTTAATAATAACCATACATATGCAAGTGTTTTAAGTTCACAAAGTTCTTCACATGATCTTCCCATTTGTCTCACAACCACTCTGTATGTTAAATACTATTGCTACTCACATTTCATAGATGAAGATGCTAAAGTCTAGAAAGATTTAGTGCTTTCTTAATGGCATATAGCAGAAGTATTAAAGCCAGGATTTTAACTTAAAGCACATGTGCTTTCCATCATGCTGTTCTTCTTTGGTTACCCCAACTTATAATGACCTCTCCTTTACTTAAATTCCTTAGGTACTTAAAGTCTAATTCTCACATTTACACACACACACACACACACACACACACATCACTCACAACATGCAGAGGTCCTGCTGTTCCTCACTCTCTTGGCTTCTCAGCAATTCTCTTTCCTATCTAAATATCGAGCTTAATAATAACCATACATATGCAAGTGTTTTAAGTTCACAAAGTTCTTCACATGTATCTTCCCATTTGTCTCACAACCACTCTGTATGTTAAATACTATTGTTACTCACGTTTCATAGATGAAGATGCTAAAGTCTAGAAAGATTTAGTGCTTTCTTAATGGCACATAGCAGAAGTATTAAAGCCAGGATTTTAACTTAAAGCACATGTACTTTCCATCATGCTGTTCTTCTTTGGTTACCCCAACTTATAATGACCTCTCCTTTACTTAAATTCCTTAGGTACTTAAAGTCTAATTCTCACATTATGGCACTTAACTGTACACTGTATACAAGACACTCTGTTATATTTATATGTTGCTTTTCCAAACAAGCCATCAGTTCCTGGACAAAGAGCCTATATATTTTTTTGCATTCCCTACAAAGCAGTGCTGGGCATACAAAAACCTTCAGTCGATGTTTGTTAATGTTACTTAGAATGAATTAAAATCTACAATACCAGGACAAAATCAGTGTAGGTGTTAACTGAGACCACATTTCTCTTAGATGGAGATGACATATCTGATGCCTGGAAAGTCATCCTTTCAACATACATGGGGCACTGGTGTAGGATAATGTTATACTCTCCCTTTCCTGAACATAGAGAAAGACTTAACGCTGAAGCCCATGGGTTTTATTGGGAGAGAACTTGGAATCTTGTCATCTGATGGAAGAGAGAAGAAATTGGAAAAGTTTACTAGAGGAAGAAGATTCAAGGTGTGACATGATCCTTCTTTTCATATATCTGATGAATTGCCATGTAGAAGAGGCATTACATTGTTCTATAGAGTACTTTAGCTTTAAACCAAGGTTGGAAGCTTTAGGGTTAAGATTTTGATTCAGTATAATGAAGATCTTTCTAATAGTAAAAGAAAAGAAAGAAGATGTTAGTCGCTCAGTTGTGTCTGACTCTCTGCAACCCCGTGGGCTATAGCCCTCCAAGCTCCTCTATCCATGATATTCTCCAGGCAAGAGTACTGGAGTGGGTTGCCATTCTCTTCTCTAGAGGAGCTTCCTGACCCAGGGATTGAACCCAGGTCTCCTGCATTGCAGGCAGATTCTTTACCATCTGAGCCACCAGGGGAGTAAGAGGTGCTCAAACGTGGGATGAATTGTCTTGAGAGGCAGTGAATTCCCCACTACGGGAAGTGGTTGGGGTAGAGCAGGAATCCTCACACTTTAATGTGCATAAGAATTTCCTAGGGATCTTGTTAGAAGTTTGGTTCCATTTCAGAAGATCTGAGGTGGGAACTTTCTGCATTTCTAACTAGGTCCCAGGTAATGCTTTTAGTAAAAGATCGTTTTAGTAAAAAGGAGCTAGCCAGCACTTTGCAAGTAATGTTGTAGAATATAATTCAAGCAGTAACTGGGTGAAATTAAAGAAGACCTAAATAAAGGAAAGGACATAACATTTTGTGAATTTAAAGTTCAGTGTTAAAACATACATGGTCTTCTCAAATTGATCAATGCAGTTCTAATTAAAATTCCAACAAAATTTTTAGGAGGATCTTGAAAATTGAATGTAAAATATATAGATGAAAATGCAAAGAACTAAAAATGGCCAAGAACTTGGAGAAGAACAAGAACAAGTGAAAAGAAAGAAAGTGTTAGTCACTCAGTTATGTCTGACTCTGCAACCCCATGAACTGTAGCTCCCCAGGCTCCTCTGTCCATAGGATTCTCTAGGCAAGAATACTGGAGTGGGTAGCCATTCCCTTCTCCAAGGGATCTTCCTGACCTAGGGATCGTACCTGGGTCTCCTGCATTGCAGGTAGATTCTTTACTATGTGAGCCACAGATTTATAATAAATCTGTAAGCACAGGTTTGTAAAGACAGTATGGTACTGGTGCAAGTGTAAAGAAATAGAACAATGCAGCAGAATAGAGAACTTCAAAATAGATCCACACATATATGGACCCTTGATTTATAATGATGTGGCACTGCAGTAGGTCAAGAACAGTCTTTTAAATATAGTCAATAGGATATCCATATGGAGAAATATAAAATAACCCATCTCATACCATACTCAAAACATCATTTTCAGGTACATAACAGACATAAGTTTAAAAGTTAAACCACACTGTTTTTAGAAGACTATAGAAGAATATCTTCTAATATTCCTAACTGGAATATCTTCAAAATTTCTTAACCAGAATACAAAAAGTTTTATCTACAAAGGAAGAGATTACTAAATTGTTCTATGCTAAAATTGAGAATGTTCTTTTATCAAAATATATCTCTGAGAAATTTCAGAGGCAAGCCATAAGATGGGTGAAGGTATCTGCTAACATATAACTGCCAAAAAGCTAAAAATATTTAAGTATCTTATGATAATCCCACCCCAAATAGACTGAGACTCAAAGGAAAAATAAATAAGAGATTTTACAGCTGATTTAAGAAAGAGGATATTAATATGGCAATAAACAGTATGAAAAATTGTTCAACTTGCTTAATAATTAGAGGATGCAGAAGAAAACTATAAAAAGGTATCCAACAGAATGACTAAAATTCAAAAGACTAATAAATAAGAAAGACTTCTTAAGTGAACAATGCAAAGAAATAGAGGAAAGCAGTAAAATGGGAAAGACTAGAAATCTCTTTAAGAAAACTGGANCTTTAAGAATTTTCCAGAGTTTGTTGTGATCTACACAGTCGAAGGCTTTGGCATAGTCAATAAAGCAGAAATAGATGTTTTTCTGGAACTCTCGTGCTTTTTTGATGATCCAGCGGATGTTGGCAATTTGATTTCTGGTTCCTCTGTCTTTTCTTGAGGGCATTATGCTAAGCACAGTTAAGTCAGAGAGAGATAAATACTGTATGATTTCATTTATATGTGAAATCTTGAAGCACAAGCAAACTTGTGGTTACAGAGAAAAGATTGATTGGCGGTTGTAGAGATGGCAAGTGGGGGTGGGAGGTGGGTGAAATGGGTGAAAGTGGTCATAAGGTAGTCAGTTATAAAATAAGTCACAGGGATATAATATACAGCATGGTAACTGCAGCACTATATTCTATATTTGGAAGTTGATAGAGTAAACTTTAAAAGTTCTCATAAGAGTAAAATTTGTATGTGTGTGATGAAAGATGCTAACTAGCCATATTAAAAGACACTTGCTCCTTGGAAGGAAAGCTATGACAAACCTAGATAATGTATTAAAAAGCAGAGATATCACTTTGCCGACAAAGGTCCATATAGTCAAAACTATGGTTTTTCCATGTATGTGTGTGAGAGTTAGACCATAAAGAAGGCTGAGTGCTAAAGAATTCATGCTTTTAAATTGTGGTGCTAGAGAAGACTCTTGAGAGTTCCTTAGGTTGCAAAGAATCAAACCAGTCAGTCCTAAAGGAAATCAATCCTGAATATTCATTGGAAGGACTGATGCTGAAGCTGAAGCTCCAATACTTTGGCCAACTAATGCAAAGAGCCAAATCATTGAAAAAGACCCTGATGCTGGGAAAAATTGAAGGCAAAAGGAGAAGTGGGTAGCAGAGGATAAGATGGTTAGATAGCAACACTTACTCAATGGACATGAATTTCAACAAACACCAGGATATAGCAAAGGACAAGGAAGCCTGGCATGCTATAGTCCATGGTACTGCAAAGTGTCAGACACAATTTAGTGACTGAAAAACACCACCACCAAGTTTTGATTAGAATGTGTAACAGCAGAAACTCTGGTATACAGGTGTAAAAAAGTAAATTGATATACATGTTTTGAAATACAGCTTGGCCTTGTCTAGTCAATATGAAGACATATATACTGTATGACTTAGCAATTCTACCTCTAGACATATCCCCAACAAAAATATGTGCACGTATCTACCAAGAAGCGCACATATGAATATGAATAACTGTATTTTTCATAATCCCTCAGACTAGAAACGAAGTAAATGTCCATCAATAGTTAATTGGAATAATAAAAACTCTAGTATATGCATACATTGGTATTCCATAAAGCAATGAATATGAATGCATTGTATCTAAGTTCAAAGACATGGATGTATCTTATAAAGGTAATACTAAGCAAAAGAAACAAGACATGAGGGAAAAATACTGTAGGATTCCATTTTTATAAAGTCCAAAAAAAGAGTAAACTTTATTTTTAGGAAGTCAGGATATGGAATCTTTGAGAAGGAGAGAGAAAAGAGTGATTAGGAGACATACAAGGGGGTCTTCTAGGGGTCCGGATGATGTTCTGTTCCTTGATCTAGGGGTTAGTTTTATGGTCCTAAAAGACTCAATACTGAGAGATATAATTTCTCCTCAAATATAATAGATGTGCAGACTCAGTGCAATCCTAATAGGGTTTTTCCTCATTTTGTGATGCTTGAGAAGCTGATTCTAAAATATATATGAAAGCACAAAGGGATAAGGATAGTCAAAACTCTTGAAGGAAAACAAGATGAGAAGACTTTATTAGATATGAAGATGGGATAATTCATTGAAGTGACACTTTATAGATTGTGTATTGTTTAGTATGTATGTCATGCTGTTAATCACTCAGTCATGTCCGACTCTTTGCAATCCCATGGACTGTAGCCCACCAGGCTCCTCTGTCCATGAAATTCTCCAGGCAAGAATACTGGAGTGGGTTGCCATTTCCTCCTCCAGGAGATCTTCTGAACCCAGGGATTGAACCCAGGTGTCCTGCATTGCAGGCAGATTCTTTACCATCTGAGCCACCAGGAAGTAAAAAGAGAGATGCTATCAAAATGGGATAGAATAGATAGGGAAGGCACCATGGTAAACTTGAACCTGATTACCTGAAAGTGTAAAGGCTAAAGAGGTTGCTCTTGGGACTCATGTATTTAAAGGGAGTTTGGTTCTCAATGGTGGTCATGGCCTGTGTAATAAATCCTCCAGGCCTCTAGGGGACAGCAGAAAGAAGATTTTTGTCCAAGAGTTAATCTCTGGTTTACAGAAATGCATTTACAGTCATCTGATGCAATTTCCCAAGGTGTTAATCAAAACTGTATTTACCTTCACATCTTTTACTCAAGAATTTGCCTTCCCCTATAGCCTAAAGGCCAGATTCTGGCTTATACATCACTTAGAATTGCTTTCAGTTCTGAAAAACTATAATATCTTCATCAGTTCAGTTCAGTCACTCAGTTGTGTCCTTCTTTTTGCGATCCCATGCATTGCATCACGCCAGGCTTCCCTGTCCATCACCAACTCCCAGAGACAAAATATCTTCATATCTAACCATTATCCTTTAGCCACCCTCTTACTTCTAACATATCTGCTCTTCAACTTTATCTTGACTCTTTTTTAAAATCCATCTCTTCCTGGAGAAGGAAATGGCAACCCACTCCAGTATTCTTGCCTGAAGAACCCCATGGACAGAGGAGCCTGGTGGGCTACAGTCCACCGGGTTGCAAAGAGTCGGATATGACTGAGCGACTTCACTTTCACTTTCACTTTCACTTTCAACCCTCAGCTGAGAAGACTTTCAGCTCTTGTGTTTGCTATTGATTGTTTTCTTGAGTTCTCAAAGACCTGTGACCATATTTTTTTTTAAGTTGCCTGTTTTCTAATTGCATCACTTTACACACTGTTGTCTAATAATATGTGGTATTTAGAATGCCTTAATTATTTTGAGCAGTCATTGCCTGTATTTTCTTAGCACCTCCTTGGTTTTCTTACATGAACTCCTCTGACAGGGAAATGCAACTTTTTTGTTTGCCCTCTCTGCATACTGGACCGTCTGAGTCAGTGTTCTAACTAATCCCTGATGGTCTCTGAGCTACTGTTCTACCAGACAGCAGTTATGTGCTTCAGGAATTTTTTGGTAGAATTGGTCTTATTAGGAGACTCTTGGTGTCACCTTTGTTATCTTAAAAGCTGGTCCCTTTGCTGGGGCTCTTAATTTTTTGAAAACTTGATGCTATTTCAGCTGAAAAAAATCAGCAAGGCTATTTAAAAAATTAAGGGAAGCCATTTAAGAAATTGAAAAGTAATCACAAACAACATTGGGTAGTTGTGACTTTCAGTTCTGTATCAGTTGAATTTTTGTGCTCTTTTCCCTGTGTATGTGTGGTTCTATTTTTCTCCAATAAAACTTTTTATTAAAAAAAAAAACAACAACCATTTCTTCCATTTCAATCTAACCATCGCTCCATCACTGTTCTGCTTTCATCTCCTGCCTACATATCCTCTTCCATCTGCCAGCCACTCTCTAGGCAAAATCCTCAAGATCCTCCTTCTTTATCTCTTTGATGTTTGCAAACTCTTAAACTCGGGTCAGACCATCACGTCACACAAAAGCCTTTCTCAACCATTCCCTCTCTCTTCAAGCTGCATCCTTTTCCTTAGAGAAGGAAAGAGTTTGATAACATGGAACTGTAAACTCCTAAAATGCCAGAGGGGGAAGGAGCCATACATTACATGTTTCTAGTGTCCTCATTTTTTTCTTATGAAGAAACAGATAGCTAGAAAAGAAACCAGTATTTCCCATCATTTCAAATAATAAATCATCCCATCTGACACTGAAGTTTAATGCCGTTTTAGAGAGCTCTTGTTGTTGCCTTCTGCTTTCCAAATTTCTTCTGCTTCATAACTCATGTAGAACAATGAATGTCAGACATGCAAAGTGAACTGGTTGGCCAGGGAGTCCATGGGAAACATGACAGGTTCACCCCAGACAAAGAAAGTATAGAACTTACACCTGATTTCTGGACTTGGGCATAGATAGTAAGGCTTTTTGCTTCCATTGTTGGCTGGCAATTGTCTGTTTTACCTGGGGAAAAGAAACCATAATGGTTATCTCTCGCTCTAGTTTCCAGCATGAACTCTCTGCTCAGATTTCTCTGGTCTTTGCATCTCGATGCATACCCACCTACCCCAGGAGTACCACAGAAAAAAGCACTGAGCCCCGGATCCCGTGCACATTTGTCCTATGACATTAGGTTAGTCACTTGATCTCTCTGGGCCTGATGTCCCCATCTGTGAAATTAGATTGAAATACCTGCCTCTCAGGGATGTTGTGATGATTACATGAGATATTGCCTGTAAAATGTATAGGATGGTGCCTGGCACATAGTGTTACATGTAATTGTCAGGTGTAATTGATATGCCTTTTGATTATTTTGATCTCTATTGTTTGATGTGCATATCTAGTCTCCTATTAGAATTCCAAGTTTTTTAAGGGTATGGAAAGTTATTTACACCTCTTTTGTATTCTTCAGTTCATAGAGGTTCATTCACAGTTTTCTCACCTCCTTGTTTCTGGAGAACCTGGTAGATGTGTAGTGGGAGGGGTATAAGAGGGATGATCTGCCAGGGACTATTTGGAATAAAGCTGCCATGTCATTCTAATGCCTACCATCTTTTTTTTTTTTCCCTCAAAGTCCAGGGCCTCTGAAAATTAATATGTTGCAGAACATTTAAATTTTTAAATAGTTTTAAACTTTTTTCTTTTTAAATCTATAGAAATAATTCATTGTCACAAAAATTTAAGTAGTGGAGAGCAAAAAGTACTTCCTCTCTCCTCCTTCACCCAGTAACCAGTATGATTTCATTCTTGGAAGTAATAGTTTTAACAGTTTGATGTATCTCCTTCCAGATGAACTCTGTACAATAGAACTTCATTTTTGATGATGGAAATGTTCCCTATCAGCAATCTAATATGGTAGCCACAATTCTCAAGTGGCTACTGAGCACTTGAACGGAGGCTAATGCAACTGAGGAATTGAACCTTCAGTTCAACTCTTTAATTTTAAATTGCTTTCAATGCTATGACAAAGAATATACATAAATGTATAACTGAATCACTGTGCTATACAGCAGAAATTAACACAACATTGTAAATCAACTATACTTCAATAAAAATTTTAAAACAATTGCATTTAATTCTAACTAATTTAAATTTAAACAGCCACATGCGGCTGGTGACCAACAAATTAGACAATGTGGTTCTGGACACTTGTATAGATTTTTTCAATGCAAATATGGTCATTCCATACCCACTTCTCTGCAACACGACCTTCTCCCTTACCATATATTGAGGACCTTTTCCTTGCTAAAGCAGTAGATCGATCTCATTCTTTTTGATGTTTCATGGTATGCTTTGCATGCATCTTGAAGTAGTGAGAATGATGGAGGGAAAAAACAGAAGCAAGGATGCCTGTTTTGGGGACTATGGCAAAGTCTAAGCCAAAGCAATAGGGCTTAATGCAGAGGAACTCACAGTCTTTAGGGAAGACTTATTTTAACACCAGTTAATTTATTCTCTTAAAAATCTAGACATGTCTCTGAGGAAATAACACTTAGGAAAAGTATATCTTTATTTGGAAGGAAAAGGCCTTGTGTGTATGTTCGTGATAAAGGTGGCGGAACGTGCTGCTTGAGGGTGTGACCCTTGGGGAGGAAATGATGGGCAGCCCCAGGAGAAGCTCAGAGAATTCAAAGAAACCAAAATATGGTTTTCCTGTGTGGGTGTGGGCATGGAGTGCTTACTTACCTGGTGGTTGCAACTTCCCTTTTTTGGTCTGAGTGGAGTATGCACGTGTTTGGATATGGGAATGGAGAATAGAGATTGGGATGATTGGAGGAGATAACAGAGGGCTTGCAAGTTAGTTCTGTGAAAGACATCGTTTCAGTTCAAATCCAGGGTGTCTGTACAGTTAGAACCCTCACTCAGCACTGTCCTCAGTGTTGTAGGGGAACAGAGAGGGTACAGAATAACCTTAAGGACTTTCAGTCTTTCATGTCAGCTCACGCTGAAAATTATAGTAGAGGGGACAGTCTTAAACAGTCAGAGAGATGCAAAAGGCTGAACGCTGCTTCTCAAAAAGACTGCTGGATCAAGATAACCCAGTTTCTTGCTTTTTTCCCTCAATGCAGGGACAAGTTTTCATGAGCCAGCTCAACTCTAGTCACTGAGACCTTAGGCTCTAATGAAAAATTTCTTGGCCTTAGAATTGGGGCATCTACCTTCTAGTCCTCATTAGTTGTGTGGCATTAGATAACACATGTCATCTCAATGGATCTCTTCTCCTACCATCACTGTAAGATAAAGGAGTGGACTGTCTACTATTCTTTTTCAACTCTTACATGCGGCAATAAGTTGTCTTATGTCACCCCAACCTCAAGCATTGATACTTTAAATCCGCTCTGTGTGTTCTTCCCAGAGCCTTCCAGTGCTGCCCTCTTCTGGCAATAGGATTTAAATAGTAATGCCTACGTTAAAAACTTTATTTCTCCATGTAAGTGTGTATCCATCCATCTATTTATCCATCTATTATGCATCACTTATCAGTGCTTTCTGGTATTGACTCTTGAATCCCCACAAAAATGCCATGAAGTATGTATTATTATCCCCATTTTGCAGAGGAGAAGTTAGATTATCTGTTTGATCACAGAACTCGTAAGTGGCAAAGTCTCTATTTGAAGGCTAAAATCTCTGTTCTTACCCAATGTACCTCCTGGGCCCAGAATTTCCAGAGAGTCCATCTGAAAACCTTCACATGGACTGCATTCTGGAAATGACACCGGTAGACGTGGCCAATAAAATCTCTTGAACAAAGTCTTATGGGGTTACAGTAATTAAGTATAGGTTTTAACCACAGATTTAAGGCAAGATTTTTGTGTGTTCCTGGCTTACAAAGAATACACAGTGATTAGAAACAAGGATGGGTACGTGTGTTGGGAAAAGTGATAGAGAATTACTGTGGGGTGAGGAGCACTATTCCCTTCAGAAGTGATAGCAGGATGTAGTTGAGGAAAGAGTGTGGGTTAGGATCCCAGGACCTTTGCCAGCAGGGTTAATGCAGGCACGAATCTTGGTTTTCTCACTGCTAGTATTTCAGTGCTTCTTTATCATCTTAGCCAAAAGTGGTTACCGGGCCTCATCCCCATAAGCTTTCATCATGATGACTGTCTGAATCACCCCACCCCCTCCCAGTTCCTCCATAGCTACCTCTTAGATGGAGGAAATGAGACAAGGTAGGTGGCCTGCTATGACCTAGATAATTTTATATAAGCAAAACCAACAGCAGAGTGCTGAGGTAGGGCTTTTCCAAGAAGGTTATATGTGGAGAACACCAATCTGCTTGAGAATGACATTGGCCATCAGATCAGTTGTGTGAAGATCAGGTTCTGTCTTCCTCACGGGCAGACCAGCCCGGGGACCTGTCCTGATTGTGGAGCAGGAGCTTCTGCGGCTGGTGTGGGCGGGTGGGGGGTAGTGTGGCAGAGGAGAGCACATGGCCTTGAGATATTGAATCACAGGACAACGTGGAGGAGAAGCCAGGAGATACTAACGCTAGACATTGAAACTTCAAGGGAGTCGTTGGACCGTAATTGTTTCAGTCTACCCTGGGTGACTTTCCATTAACTATTTAGTTTGGCTTTAAGTGACCTCATGGATTGCACACTTGACCAAGGTGAGTCAGAATATGTGCTAAATCATAGTAAAGTGTGTTCCCTCTGCTGTCTTCTGATGACCTGTGGGCCTTCCCAGAGGAACATACCCTGGCAGTGGGAACACACAGCTGCAGTTCTGATTTCCTCACCAACCACCTGGGTGAGCTTGCAAGAGTCACTTAGCCTCTCTGTGCCTTGGTTACCCCATTGCTAATTCACCTGGAAACAACTATCCCCTCCTTTTCTCAGAGATGTATCTTAAGCATAAAAAGAAATTATAGAAAGGTTTCAACCCTTGGGTAAAAACATCTTACTATAAGGTTCTTTTGATCAATCAGTAGATATAGCTTCACTTGAACAAGATCCAAGACTCCTCTGAATTCTGCTCCTAGTTTCAGCCTCTTATCTTCAGCATCCTATACACACTTCAGCTGCAGTGCTTGTCATACTGAATTTAAATTATCTGTGTAATGTCTCCTATGTTATATACCTGTGGTTCATCTTTCCTTTCATCCTTATAGACTAGCGTGGGGGGATCAAGCAAGACATGTTGAATGAGGCTGAATTAAGCAAGGTTTCAGGATATGTTTATTTAGTGTTTTTGCAAAGGCGCTTGTTTCCTGCAGAAAGCCAAACTGGTGAGAGCAAGTGCTTGTGGGGAGAGCTCCCTGCTTACCACAGGGAGTCTGATAAGAATCTCTGTTGTCAGACACCTACCTCTTCTTCTCAACAGTAGTATCACCACTTGGAGAATCATGATAATGCCAACGATGCCCCCTAAGAAGAGCCCGGCATATAGTCCCCATTGTCTTGATTCTGCGAAAAAAAAAAAAAAGTTAAAGGGCAAACTCAAAAGCGCTGTGAGTTTAAAAACATCCCACGCAGAAGTGGGGAGACCTAGCCTCGTGTTTTCTGCCTATGTTCCTTCTCAAGAGAGACATTAATTCTCATGGCTTTAGAGATCAAATTTAGCCCACTGAAGAGTTCCAGATCTGTTTCCTTATCCTGATTTCTGTCACTATACTTGACTTCCAGGCTCCTAGTTTTTGTAAAGACTCTTCTATTCAGATGTTTTATTTTTCATTTCACTTTACCTATTTTACCACGTGACTACCTGATGCTGGGAGGGATCGGGGGCAGGAGAAGAAGGGGACGACAGAGGATGAGATGGCTGGATGGCATCACCGACTCGATGGACTTGAGTTTGAGTAAGCTCCAGGAGTTGGTGATGGACAGGGAGGCCTGGCATGCTGCGATTCATGGGGTCACAAAGAGTCGGACACGACTGAGTGACTGAACTGAGCTGAACTGAAAGCTAAACTTATCTTTGTTTTTTCCTAAGTCAATTTCTCTACTAGGTCTCTCTGTTTTTAAATTTCTAATGTGTCCTGTATCCATTTCGGTAAAAAGAACATGATGGCTCCACATGCTGTCCCCATACTCCCACATAGTTCTCATGAGACCCCAGGAGGAAGGAGGATCTACCTTGTTTTTAAAATAAACACAGTAGTGCTATTATTGTCCTTCCATGCAAATAATTGTATTGAACCAACTAGACCTGAACTGAAAGAAAAGCATGTAGTTTTCTTCTGAATCACTGGAGTACCAGTCACTAAGTTAAAAATCAGAGAGCCAGTTTTCATTGCTTTCTCTCCTCTCCCTCCTTTACCAAATCCTTCTGAACCAGGAGCAGAGTCTTAGTAAATAAGACATTTAGCTCAATAAGATAATAATAGATAATTACTGAGCATTTACAATGGACCAAGCATTTTTAGTGCATCTTGTCTATTAATGCATTTAATCCTCAAAGCAATCCTATGAGGTAGATACTCATTACTCCCATTTTGTGGATAAGGAAGAGGGCACAGAGATCCTTGAGAACTATAGGTCGGTCTAAGAGTAGAAACATGGCTGAATATTGAAGACAGACTTCTTGGAGAGTCAGGGAGATGTATGGGCTTAGGGTTAAGTTACATCAGGGTAATGAACAGTGGCAGACAACCCAAAGTACTAGGGTTCCAAGTGAAGTAATAGCATTCACATTCTAAATAGAAAGACGAGTAATTTGTAAAGATGATTGTGGAATCAGGCTGTTTGTTGTTAAATCTGTGATGGATTTGTTGGGAAGTAACTGATAGAAAGGAATAAGTAGGGGACAGAAGGGCAGGTTACTTACAGACACAATTCAGACATTTACAAAGTTGGCCAGAGATATAGCCTGAAGTTGCAACAAACTGATAAAATGCATCCTGCCAAGATCCAATTGGGCCTTCAGCCTGATAGGTGAGCAGAAGTTGCCTCCAGGGTTTGAAAAGATTTTTTTCTTTCTAGGTCTTTAACACATCAAGACATCCCAGGGAATCCCACTGAACTGGGGTTTTGTAAGCATCTTAATTATAGAGTTTCTTCCCAGAACTAAACATATTTTAACCCTGCCAGATAACAATTTAACAGTCACATGACCCCCAATCAGAAAGCAAGGGTGCAAGCAGAGTTGTAATGAGGCTTCTAAATTCACATAAAGTCTGAGATGTGAGGACAAAGTCGCTTGGGAGCTGGACTTGCCTTGTGAGCAGCTGTCACCTGAATGGCTGAGGGTTGCTGAGAGCCCACTTCACGTGTATGTGTGTGTGTATCTGAGGAACAGTGACAGATTGATTATTTAGTGCTTATGTTGCCAACACCAGAAAACTCATGGAGAAACCTTTCAAATCCCAAGATAAAGAAGCAGGGCCAGCGGCCTAAGTACCACCAGGTTTCTTCAACCCATGGGATGGACCCAGCAAACAGTTGTAGTAGCACTTAGTATTTCAAGACTGTTTCCTCTCTTTTCTTCCCTCATGTATTTTGAGACCGTCTAAAACAACAGTTAATTTAAGAACAAGCACTGCAACTACATAAGTGAATTTAAAAAATAGCATTTCTTTCAAATTTCTTTTATATAAAAAACCAATAAGGTGATGTACCTAAAACTAGAAAATAGCAAGATAGCTAAAGAAATTAATTAAAGTAAAACTAGAATATAGAAGATGACATAAGTAACACCTGCCAAATGAGAGTTGCTTCTGTTGTGACAGCCCAGCCACCTACCTACTCACATAAACGAAACTGGGGCATATTACTGGGACTGGGGCATAACTGGCATAACTGGGGCATATTACTGGCCCAGAGGACATAATAGCAACAGCTGTCTCTTTCTTTTCAGGGTCTCAGGAGGATGAAAGCTATCTGCTCCTCTTGTCCTCCTCCAAGGTCCTATACATGACCAATTTCTGCCAGGTCAGCCATATCTGAAAGGCAACCTGGTCACAGTCCTGAAAGATATTTCATAAGCCCTAATTTCCCCCCTAATCTTTGGATACAAATTGATATGAATCTATTGGAGGATTTAAGTTATAGGACCACAGACTTTTTTTTAACTTTAAAGGAATTACAGAGCTTATCTGGCCCAGCTCACTTGTTTTATGTTGAGAAAACTGAGACTCAGGCAAGCATACCTAGAGTCACAGAAGAAGGCAATGGCCAAAACAGGTGAGAAGAGACCTGTAGGCTTTACAGTTTGTTTTATTCTATGGAGGTGAGGCCTCTTACAATGAGAGCAGCAGAAGGGTAGGATGCCTGGCAGACATTATGAGTCAAAAGCTCCCTGAGGTCCGAGCTCACCCCTTCACCAACCTTCATCCAACATCTGCAGGTACGCTCCATCCTCTACTTCCTCCCACTGTGCCTTCACCAGTCCCATTGCCTGCCCAGCGCTGACCCCAGGCCAGGCTTAATTCCTCTGTGTAACTTTTCCTTCCACTCCAGCTCCCATTCTCCCTCTCCTTTGGACTCTGAAGCCCCTTGATTTATGTCCTACATCTTAAAATTATGTTTGCTGTGGACACTGTCTTCAGGGAGGGCACCTGGAGCCAGACAGAGGGATTCAAATTCTGGGTCTACCACTTGATAGCTCTGTGACCTCCAGAGGCCTCATACCCTCTGGGGTCCCTGTTTCCTCAATGGCAAAACAAACATAAAAATATTCAGTTCTCAGAGTTGTTCTGATGAACCAATGAAATAACATATGGAAAGTGCTTAGAGCAATGCCTAGAATCTAGCATGTGGTACATGCATGATAAATCACTTCTGATTTATCACAACAAAGAGTTGTGTCCGACTCTTTGCAACCCTAAGAACTATAGCCCACCAGGCTCCTCTGTCCATGAAATTCTCCATCCCATGGATATTCTCCAGGTAAGAATACTGGAGTGGGTTGCCATGCCCTCACTCCAAGGGATCTTCCTAACCCAGGGATCAAGCCTGCATCTCCTGCATTGGCAGATGGGTTCTTTACCATTAGCACCACCTGGGAATCCTGAGGCAAGTGGAATTGATGATTATTCACCACATTCTTCCCAGGTGTAGCTTCTACACTTGGTGCTCATCTTTCTGGTGCTCTTATTCAATTATCATATGCATATGATAAATGCATAAATGTCATGGACTCTATGCCTTTGGGAATTTAAATAAATATGGACAAAAAGCTACTTTTACAGCTTGTGGGGGTCAGGCTGACCATGATCTCTTTAATTTCTATCAATAACTTCCTATAATCCCGTGAGTTTTCTCTGCTGCAGCCCTTTAGTCTGAGCTGTCTCGAGTGTAAGGTTCAGTGCCGTCACCAGTTTCCACACACACAAAAAATAAAACAAAACCAAAAAACCTATACTAAGAATTCTGTTGGGGGACTTCCCTGGTGATTCAGTGGTTAAGACTCTATGCTTCCACTGCAAGGGGCATGAGCTCAGTAGCTGGTCTGGTAATTAAGATCCTGTATGCTGTGTGGTGTAGCAAAAACAAACAAACAAAAAGAATGTTGTGGGTTCAAATCCTCTACTGTATGTAGATTTGACAGTTCACAAAGAGCAGATTCCATCGTGAAAAGGGAAGCTTTCTAACACATGAGAGGCTCAGACCCTATTTTTCTCTTCCTATATCTGCACAAGCAACACCTTCCCCCATTATAACACAGAAGTATTTAACCTACAGCTGGATTCTTTGCAGGAGGGAGGTCTTATCTTCTGCTTTCCATAAAGAGCACCTTACACTCTTCATAAAGCATTTATGAAGCTCTTTATCCTAAAGAAACTCTGTTCCTTCCCCAAAAGGAATTCTAGTAGTGGTTTCTTTAATATGATCATGTTTTTCTAACCCAGTCAGGTGTAGGAATCCTATCTAGATGGTAAACTCCTTGAAGGTAGATCCTGTACCTTGTGCTTCACATGTATTCCCCTTTCCACATGACACAGTAGAGGGCAGGGGGCACTCAATATACACATGATGGGTAAGTGATTTAAGTTAAATTAAATTAGGAGCCATAGCATGAAGCTGGGAGAAGACTGTCATATACCTTTGGCTAAGAATTATCAGAACTCTAGGTTCTGGTAATTCAGTGGTAAAGAATCCACCTTCCAGTGCAGGAGACACAGGAGATGCAGGTTTGATCCCTGGGTTGGGAAGATCCCCTGAGGGAGGAAATGACAACCCACTCTAGTATTCTTGCTGGGAAATTCCATGGACAGAGGAGCGTGGAGGGCCTGGGTTCTTTACCATTAGCACCACCTGGGAATCCTGAGGCAAGTGGAATTGATGATTATTCACCACATTCTTCCCAGGTGTAGCTTCTACACTTGGTGCTCATCTTTCTGGTGCTCTTATTCAATTATCATATGCATATGATAAATGCATAAATGTCATGGACTCTATGCCTTTGGGAATTTAAATAAATATGGACAAAAAGCTACTTTTACAGCTTGTAGGGGTCAGGCTGACCA